AATAAAAGATACTTTCCCTTTTAAGTAAGTAAAATAATTATTTATCCAATTTTTACTGACTCAGTGAGTAACAGCAATAGTAGTGGTAGTGGGTTCAATCAAGGAATAATGTTTGCAAAGTGAAAATTGTAAGGAACACCTTTTAACACCACAGAGTTCAAAGATGACAACAGATACGGTGAGCTTGCTGAGTGCTTTCATACCACATCGGTTATTGTCCTGCATCTGTCTGATTATCACCTACTTGAGCCTATCCTAGCAGCTCAGGACACAGGAAGAAATGAGCCCTGGCCAGGATGACATCCCATGGCAGGGCATACTTACACACAGCCCTACAGCTATCCATTATAGGAACAACCACAGTACATTACACAAAGACTCTACTCCCTAAAAGTAGACAACGCTTAGATGCCTATTCCCACACTTACTTTTCTTTAATCAACAGAACTTAGCAAACTATAATAATGAACAGGTGAATATATATTACTAAATTAAGAATAGAGACATACTTTGTGACAGTACATACCTCCTTCAGATAATAATGATCCTGCTAAAATACAATAGGCCTAGGGAAGAAATATTAAAATAAAGCATACATTAAGTACTTGCAATCACAATTATTCATATATAAAGTCTGTAATGTCTAAACCAAAAACATAAACTCAAATCTAAGCCAGACAATAAGGTCATTAATGGGAAACAACTCAGGTAAGGACAATGAGATATGATCTGACATCAGGAGTTGTGGACACCAGATACAGAAGAGCCACACCCAAACTCAAGTAATTTCTGGATTTTACTTGGATGTCTAATATCAAGAAAATCCTGATTCAGAAAGATAAACAGTTCTAAACAGTAACCAATTTTTTTTTGTTTTGTAACACCACATTCCCTGTAATCCCAGGACACTCTTGAATTAAAGATGGCAAGAAAAGCTTTAGTGCTGGGTAAAAAAAAAAAAAAAAGAAAAAGAAAAAGAGTTAACCTAGCAACACAATTTTATTTTAATGAAATATGAACGAAACATCTACAGAATTTTCAGCAATGTTTAGAACCCCAGGCTTTCCTAAAATAGATGTTTGAAAACTTTGAACCCAGTCCAACACTATTTTAAACAGGGCCATAGTCTAATGGAAACCCATTTCGTTAATGAAAGACACAAGAGCATTTACAAGTTTTAAAACTTATCCAGAACTGAAAATTTAACTAATTACCTAATCTCTAACTCCAGAGACTGCGTTGCCTCTGTAAAGTGATGCTGTACAAATTAGAAGAAAGCTAGGACAATGAAGTACCCATAATGTGGCCAAATCTTTTCAGAATGGAGGAAATACATTTGTTTGTTTTAATGATATGAAATGTATTATGGTAAGAAACTAGTCAATCAGAACTATAGGAAACTAGAGAATAACAAATAAGCTTAGAGTAATGGGCTTATTAAGTAGATTTGTATGATCTAGCAGGATATTAAAGAACTAAACAGACTAATTGTGTCTAGTTTCGACTACAACCCAAAATACAGAAGAAAACAGGTACTAATATGCCCACATTCCAAAAAAGGTATTATACCATCTATTCAGGGCTTGCACAGAAGGTAGCCCAAGCCTGGGGCCTCTACCCACTAGACTACATGCTAACTTCACATCTTCTAGACCATATAGGAAGAAGAGGTTGAGGTGGCCAAAAGTGAAGATTTCTTTGGTGAAAGCTGTTGAGCTGCTAAGATTGCTCAGTAAGCTTGATGTGTGCCCCCTGGATACTGGATATCACAGCTAACTGTCTGATGCATACCTGAGTGATACATCATATGCAAGTCTATTAACTAATATTGGCAGCAGAGTAGATCACTAGGCTTGATTCAAAAAAAAAAAAAAAACCTGCACTCCCATGGAAAGTGTGTTACAGATGTCTGTTTTAACACACGGGTCCCTAGGAGTCTTTTATAAGGAGATCAACTGCTCAAAGGGCATTCTTTACAAATGCAAGACAACTTCAGCACTGTCTGGAACCATACCATGAGATGCAGAGCTGAGAGGGTAGGCTATGTGACCAATTTGGGCAGCCATAGCCAGAGCAGCCAAGCAGGGTAATCTCCAAGAAGTGCCCATGGGGGGGAAAAAGACAGCTTTAAACATCTACAAAGGCCAGAGGAAACCAATGCAAAATAACAGTGTAGTCAGTAAAGTAGTATAATTTTATCCCCTATCCCAACTTTCAACACTGCCTAGGGAATAGGAGAGAGGAGCAGAGCCCTAGAGGGGATCATACGGGTGATCATCCTGCCATCCTCCTGTTCCCCCAGTGCAGGCTTCCTATTACATGGGACTGAATATTTTAATTATTGAAATGAGACTATTCTTGGGACCAAAAGTGAACAGAGGGTTTTCTTATTCCTCAACAGTAACTGGAGAAATTAATGCAACTGCCCAAGATTTTAAACGAGGAGGCAGGGTTTGATAATTGGTACCTCCAGAGATCTTGTTCAACATCATTGAATCTTATGAATTTAGAGGTCATGTCCAGTCACATTCTAAAAAATAAATTACAGATACATAATCCTATATTACACAGTCAAGAAGGTGTATGTCATTCTTTAACACCAATATGACAAAGGCCTTCTATTGTACACAATCACTACGTCATAAGACTTCAAAACTGGGGAGAAAAAAAGAGGATTACCCATAGAAGGGATTCTATTGGTTGAGGATGAAGCAATCCCATGACTCCATGGTACCAAGATAGTCCTGCACCCATCATGAAAATACCAACACCACTAATTAGTGAAGAAATATAGCGCATATTCGAAAATCCATACCTGAAAAATAGAAAAGAATATAGTTTGCAAGAAATACGAATGGTTTCCTTTAAAATATAAGCTTAATAGGTCAATAAAAAAGAAAAAGACTCAGTATATCAAGATGTTATAATTTTATATTAAGATGTAAGTGCTAAGCTTGAAAAGCAATATGCAGAGTGGAAAAAAACTATAAGATCTTTGAAAATACATAAACATAAAGTGAATACCATTTAATTCAGGTATTTTCTAATCTCTTTTCCAAATAGCCTATTTTGATTTAGAGAGCTACTTTACTGTTATGTGCCACAAATCCTGGTAAAATTAATCTTTTAAAAAATGCATTCAGATATTTAATGAACAGGATAACATTTAAATTTCCTTGTAATGCAGCTTTTAATTGAATGTTTTCATCTTTTTGTGCAGCCAGTCTATGATTTATATTACCCATACTTTGATGCTGGATACAGAAGTTTACAACACATAATTTATTGCTAGTTCTGAACAGGTTAGCACACATCAACTTTCACCTATTACAAGAAGTAAGATCTTCAGTTTTCTGAGTGTTTTCATGGTGTTAAAATCTCAATTATTTTTCAAGCATGCTTCATCAATATGTACATTATTTTGTATTATTATAAGAACTGACACAATACTTATTATTAAAGGTGTTCAAAAATATATTAATAACATACTAGAGGAGGAAAAACATCACTCATTAATAAAAACATTTCCTGGAAAATTTAGTTCCAAACTCAAACTCAGTGGCCCTCTTCTGAGAAATACAAATTTAAACAAGAATTATTAATCAAACTGCTCTTGGAATTCCTTTTTGCAAAGATGTAATCCTGCCACAGGGAATTCCCAGTTTAGAGATGTGACAATGTGACAGCTCACTCAGAAAAATTTACTTTCTTCTAAAGATTCCCCCCAAAGTAAAACAGAATATATGTTTATTTAAGTTAAAGTAAATTAATATCTAAAATAAATGGCATTACTTATACTTTAGGTGATTTCAAGAAACTATTAATTCTTATTGAAAATTTTAATTATGCAGACTTAAACTGCCCGATATGATGAGCCACTAGCCACATGTGGCAATTTAAATTTAAATAAATTAAAACTAAATATAGTTTAAAATTTAGTTCTTCAGTTGCACTAGCCACATTTCAAGTGCTCAATAGCTACATGTAGTTAGCTGTCCATACTGGACATATACAGAATATTTCCACAATTGCAGAAAATTCTGTTGGGCAGCACTAAAGTAGTCTATAAAAATACCTTGAGAAGAAATATTCACAACCTAAAATTTAAAATTTTTACCTTTTTAAAAATCTTTCATATATAAAACAGGCCAAGAAAAAAAATTTTTCTTAAGATGGTACAACACTGTAATGATGTGTAATTAACACACTAGAGAACTATTCTCTATATTAGCTTACTGACAGTTACAGAACATTCAAGTATATCATTTATAGGAAAACAGTAGTATTGCTTTCAAGTAAAGAAAGGCATTTCTAAAGAACAGAGGTAGATGCCTTTACAGAAGTAAAACTGCTTTTTTTTTGGCCTTAAGATTTATCAAATTCTATTACTGAGGCTAGTCTTAAAATGATGCATGTGAAATTCAAAAATTTTAGATGGTTATGTTAAAGAAGCAATAGAAAAAAAATCTCTCCATCAAATAATGGCTACGATTCAAAATAATACTTTCTAAAAAGTATACTCATTTTACAAATAAATAATTCTGAAATATTAACAAATATTTTGTTAATCACAAACAGGACTAAAAGAAGTTACCAAAAATTTTAGATTGGGTAGCCTATGAGTCTAAATCTAGAATATATGTTTCCTGGTTCAAAATAAAACAGACCTCTAAAATCAAAATATGTGCATTACTATCAAATATGAAGAAAACAAGATCACCATGCTGTGCTGCAAAGCATAAAAATAACTCCATTTTCAATATACCTTGAATTTACTTTGACACAGTGGTGAGTTCTGCATTTTAGATACTACAGTGGAAGAAATGACCAAATCTTTAACCAACTGCAGGTATATAAATTGCAGGAGATTTCTAAAATTTTTTATTTCAATGACTTGTCGCCAAAAATAACAAAAACAAAATAAGACAAGGTCCTTACGGATGAGAAGGATCTGGTGTTTGAACAGACTTACTGATGCCCAGTGCTAGTAAACCCTATAAGAAAGAAGAAAAAAACGTAAATAATCATTAGCAAGATGGAGAGTATAATATGGTAAACCCAATGTGGAGGGTGCAGGCTATAAAGAAACACTCAACATATGCATGTCCAATGGCCTAGCAATTCTGGTTTCTAGTACTTACCTTAGAAAAATAAAGATGAATTCAAAGGGGATCAAAACACCATTGTTTATAAAGATGAGAAATATGAAAGCAACCTAAAACAAATCCATCTATTGGGAATGACAAAATAAATGATAAACCATAAATTACTTCTACAGTAGGTTAAAAAAAATAATGTTAGAGTAGAGCTTTCTATACTGACACAGATAAAGCTCCTAGACATACCATTAAGTGGAAGAGGAGAAAAAAGCAAGTTAGGAACAGTATCTAGAGTACAGAATTTATGCTTTGTCATTTTTATAGGCTTATAAAATAATATTTTATAATTATTATATATAATTCTGTGCATATAATATAAAGCACAGAAAAGGTTAAAAGAACATGCATGTAACTATGCTTACATCTCTGAAGAGAGGCAGAATTAAGGTAGTATGTAATATTTGACTTTTTATAGGAAGAATAACTTGTATAGATGCACAAATAAAAGATAAAAACTTTAAGCAATATATATATACATATATAGTGTATGAGCACATACATTTCTAGTAAAACTGCAAAACCACGCACAGGAATTATGTATCACATCCTGTTCTTTCCTTCCTTTCTTACTCCCTCTCTTCTGTCTCACTTGTTTTCAACATTTCTTCCTTGTTCCTTTCATTTCCACTTATGTGGTCTTCATTTCCACTTATGTGGTTTTGTCCTTTGTTAAAGAGTTATCCATTAGAACCTCTCAATAGTAGTATGTTTGTCCCTAGTAAGTCCTTTCCATCCTAATTTGATGCGAATCTAGAAATCCATCATAAGACTACATTATTAGAACTATTTGATAAAAATACAAAGCCTCTAAGTGAATTCCCTATGTAATTTTATTTGGTTAATCTGAGGCTTTTCCTTTCTTCAGCTTTGTAGCAAATAATCAGCTAAGTAAACTTTCTAGATAATGACTTATTCATAGATGAGGTTTCCCTATAGGTTACATTTAATAGAAACTTTTTTTCTAATAAAATAGAGATTAAACAACCTTGAAAATAATTAAGACAAATATATTTTTAGGTTTTAATATTGGAAACCCTACCCTAAATACACGTTACAAGCTTTTACAACTAGATTCCGTGGGAAAAGGGAGCAAACCACCTAAAACGTAGATGATTTTTCAGTGACTTAAACTAAGAGAATGAGAATTAAAAGGAAGCTATAACTCTCTTACACTGACATGGTTTGGCTGTGTCCCCACCCAAATCTCATCTTGAATTCTCACGTGTTGTGGGAGGGACCTGGTGGGATGTAACTGAATCAAAGGCGCAGGCCTTTCCCTTGCCGTTCTCATGCTAGTGGATAAGTCTCCTGAGATCTGATAGTTTTAAGCTCTGCACAAGCTCTCTTCTCTTGTCTACCGCCATGTGAGACATGCCTTTCACTTTCTACCATGGTTGTAAGGCTTCCCCAGCCACGTAAATTTATAAGTCCATTAAGCCTCTTTTAAAAAAATTAATAAATTATCCAGTCTTGGGTATGTCTTTATCAGCAGTGTGAAAATGGACTAATACGAGAGAGAGGAGAACATGGCGCTATAGGAGCAACTCAGGATTGCAGCTCCCAGTGAAAGCGCAGAGGGGGGGTGGACGTCACATTTCCAGATGGATCTTTATTGCCCACAGACCAGAAGATTCCCAGGTGTAGGAGCCCCACGGGCTGCCAGCATGGCTGTTTCGGCTGGTGCAGCCATTTCGGCCGGTGCAGCCATTTCGGCCGGAACTGCAGCACAGCACAACTCCGTACAAAATACACTGACTGGTCTGGTTGCCCTGTTAAACTGGCAATTTGAGATTTGGGAAAGCAGATTAGCACGTTCATCTGATTAAACGGGACTTAAAACAGTAAGCCAGGCTAGGAGATTCCCAGGCAGCGATGTTGTTTCAGTCGGTGCAGTGGGTCGCTGCACGGGAAATCACAAAGATCCCGGCGCCCTTTCAGCAGGTGACTGAAACACCTGGGAGAGAGTCAACCGTTCAACTTAAAAAAAAAAGGGCTCTAAGGCAGGGAGCCAGGTGATCAGGCTCAGTAGGTCCCACCCCCACAAAAACAAACAAAACAGCAATTGGAAACGCTCGGGGTTGAGAGTTTCACGGCAAGCACAGCTGAACCCAGTACGGTGCAGCTCGGTGGTAGAGGGGCATCCGCCATTACCGAGCACTCCACCCCTACGGAGGTACTCTGCCATTGCTGACACAGCCTGCCGTTGCCGAGGCAACCCGCCATTGCCAAGGCAACCCGCCATAACAAAGAGAGTCCACCATTACGGAGTCTGCCATCGCCACAGCAGTTCTAACCACATCCATATAAACAGGACTACAGGGAATTACACACGGCAGCAGGGTGGAGCGCATGGCAGCAGGGCGGAGCCCAGAGCAGCTCAGCATAGCCTCAGCAGGCAGACAGTGACTAGACTGCCTCCTTGCTGGGCAGGACAGTGCAATGGATACTCATAAATAAAGCCCTAACTCCCCAGGACAGAGCACCTGAGGAGAAAAAGGGGCTTTATGAGTTCCGCTGCAGCAGACTTAAACGTACCTGCCTAGCAGCCCTGAATGACAACAGAGCTCACAGCTCAGCACTTGAGCTCCTATAAAGTACAGACTGTCTCCTCAAGCAGCTCCCTGACCGCCATATATCCAAAGAGTCACCTCACAAAGGACTGATCAGACTGACATTTAGCAGGCATCATTCTGGGACAAAGTTAGTGGAAGAAGAAACTGGTAGCAACCCTCACTGTTCCACAGCTGCTACAGGTGTTCCCCAGGCAAGCAGGGCCTGGAGTGGACCTCAGCAGTCCTACAGCAGAGGGGCTAGACTGTTAGAAGGAAAACTAAGAAACAGAAATACTTCATCATCAACAATCTGGACTTCCACACCCAATCGGAAAGTCAGCAATTTCTCAGACGACAGGTGGATAAATCCACAAAGATGGGAAGAAACCAGCGCAAAAAGGAGGAAAACACCCAAAACCGGAACACCTCACCTCCTACAAGGAACCACAATCCCTCAACAGCAAGGGAACAAAGCTGGACGGAGAATGAGTGTGATGAAATGACAGAATCAGACTTCAGAAGGTGGGTAATGAGAAACTTTCGTGAGCTAAAAGAACATGTTCTAACTCAATGCAAAGAAACTAAGAACGTTGAAAAAAGATTTGAGGAAATGATAAGAAGAATGGACAACTTAGAGAGGAATATGAGTGAATTGATGGAGGTGAAAAACACAACACGAGAACTTCGCGAAGCATGTACAAGTCTCAACAGCCGAATTGACCAAGCAGAAGAAAGGATATCAGAGGTCGAAGATCAACTCAAGGATGCCCTCTCTCACCACTTCTATTCAATATAGTACTGGAAGTTCTAGCCAGAGCAATCAGGCAAGAAAAAGAAATAAAGGGTATTCAAATAAGAAAGGAGGAAGCCAAATTGTCTCTATTTGCAGACGACATGATTGTATATCAAGAAGACCCCATCATCTCAGCCCAAAATCTCCTGAAACTGATAAGCAACTTCAGCAAAGTCTCAGGATACAAAATCAATGTGCAAAAACCACAAGTATTCCTATACACCAATAACAGACTGAAAGAGAGCCAAATCAAAAATGAACTACGAAGAGAATAATGGCTACAAAGAGAATAAAATACCTAGGAATACAACTTACAAAGAACGTAAAGGACCTCTTCAAGGAGAACCACAAACCACTGCTCAACGAAATAAGAGAGGACACAAACAGATGGAGAAACATTCCATGTTCATGGTTAGGAAGAATCAGTATCGTGAAAATGGCCATACTGCCCAGAGTAATTTACAGACTCCACTCTATCCCCATCAAGCTACCAATGACCTTCTTCACAGAACTGGAAAAAAACACCTTAAACTTCATATGGAATCAAAAGAGAGCCTGCATACCCAAGTCAATTCTAAGCAAAAAGAACACAGTGGGAGGCATCACACTACTGAACTTCAAACTATACTACAAGGCTACAGTAGTCAAAATAGCATGGTACTGGTACCAAAACAGAAATATAGACCAATGGGACAGAACAGAGGCCTTGGAGGCAACACAACATATCTACTACCATACAGTCTTTGACAAACCTGACAAAAACAAACAATGGGGAAAGGATTCCCTACTTAATAAATGGTGTTGGGAAAACTAGCTAGCCATGTGAAGAAAGCAGAAACTGGACCCCTTCCTGACACCTTACACTAAAATTAACTCCAGATGGATTAAAGACTTAAACATTACACCTGACACCATAAAAACCCTAGAAGAAAATCTAGGCAAAACCATTCAGGACATAGGAGTAGGCAAGGACTTCATGACCAAAACCAAAAGCATTGGCAACAAAAGCCAAAATAGACAAATGGAACCTAATCAAACTCCGCAGCTTCTGCACGGCAAAATAAACAGTCATTAGAGTGAATCGGCAACCAACAGAATGGGAAAAAATTTTTGCAGTTTACCCATCTGACAAAGGGCTGATATCCAGAATTTACAAAGAACTCAAACAGATTTACAAGAAAAAAACAAGCCCATTCAAAAATGGGGAAAGGATATGAATAGACACTTTACAAAAGAAGACATACATGAGGCCAACAAACATTAAAAATGCTCATCATCACTGGTCATCAGAGAAATGCAAATCAAAACTACATTGAGATACCATCTCACACCAGTTAGAATGGCGATCATTAAAAAATATGGAGACAACAGATGCTGGAGAGGATGTGGAGGAATAGGAAGACTGCTGGTGGGAGTGTAAATTAGTTCAACCATTGTGGAAGACAGTGTGGCAATTCCTCAAGGACCTAGAAATAGAAATTCCATTTGACCCAACAATCCCATTACTGGGTATATATCCAAAGGACTATAAATCTTTCTACTATAAGGACACATGCACACGAATGTTCATTGCAGCCCTGTTTACGATAGCAAAAACCTGGAACCAACCCAAATGCCCATTGATGATAGACTGGACTGGGAAAATGTGGCACATATACACCATGGAATATTATGCAGCAATAAGAAACGATGAGGTCGTGTCCTTTGTAGGGACATGATTGAATCTGGAGAACATAATTCTCAGCAACCTGACACAAGAACCGAAAATGAAATACCGCATGTTCTCACTCATAGGCAGGTGATGAACAATGAGAACACATGGACACAGGGAGGGGAGCACTACACACTGGGGTCTATTGGGGGGAATGGGGGAGGGACAGCAGGTAGGGAGCTGGGGAGGGATAGCATGGGGAGAAATGCCAGATGTGGGTGAAGGGGAGGAAGGCAGCAAATCACACTGCCACGTGTGTACCTATGCAACTATCTTGCATGTTCTGCACATGTACCCCAAAACCTAAAATGCAATAAAAAATAAATAAAATAAAATGGACTAATACAGTAAATTAGTACCAGTAGAGTCAGGTGCTGCTCTAGATATCTGAAAGTGTGGAAGCAACTTTGGACCTGGGTAACAGGCAGGGGTTGGAACAGTTTGGAGGGCTCAGAAGATAGGAAAATGTAACAAAGTTTGGAATTTCCTAGAGACTTGTTGAATGGCTTTGCCCAAAATGTTGACAGCAATATGGATAATAAGGCCCAGGCTGAGGTGGTCTCAAATGGAAATGAGGAACTTGTTGAAAACTGGAGCAAAGGTGACTCCTATTATGTTTTAAGCAAAGAGACTGGTAGCATTTTGCCCCTGAGGAACTTGCAACTTGAGAGAGACGATCTAGAGTATCTGGCAGAAGAAATTTCTCAGCAGCAAAGATGCACGAGGTGATTTGGGTGCTGTTAAACGCATTCAGGTTTTCTCTTGAGAGAGAGTTTCACTTTATCATGGAGTGCATGGTGCAATCTCAGCTCATTGCAACCTCTGCCTCCCCGCTTCAAGCGATTCTCCTGCCTCAGCCTCCCAAGTAGCTGAGACTACAGGCATGTGCCCTCATGCCCAGCTAATTTCTGTACTTTTAGTAAAGAAGAGTTTCACCATTTTGTCCAGGATGGTTTCAATCTCTTGATCTCGTGATTCGCCCACCTCAGTCTCCCAAAGTGCGGGGGTTAGAGGCGTGAGCCACTGTGCTTGGCCCAGGCATTCAGTTTTAAAAGGGAAACAGAGCATAGAAGTTTCAAAAATGTGCAGTCTTACAATGTGATAGAAAAGAAAATTCCATTTTCTGAGGAGAAATTCAAGCCAGGTACAGAAATTTGCATAACTAACAAGGAGCTGAACGTTAATCACCAAGAAAATGGGGTAAACGTCACTAGGGCATGTCAGAGACCTTTGTGGCAGACCCTCGTATCACAGGCCCGAGTTTAAGAAGAAAAAATGGTTTCCTGAGCTGGGCCCAGGGTCCCTCTGCTGTGTGCAGTCTAGGGTCTTGGTGCCCAGCTACTCCAGCTCTGACTAAAAGGGGCCAAGGTACAGCTCTGGCTATCACTTCAGAGGGTGGAAGCCCCAAGCCTTGGCAGCTTCCATGTGGTGTTGAGCCTGTGGGTGCACAAACTGAGGTTTGGGAATCTCTGCCTAGATTTCAGAGGATGTATGGGAAACACCTGGATGCCCAGGCAGAAGTTTGCTGCAGGGGCTGGGCTCTCATAAAGAACCTCTGTTAGGGCAGTGTGTAAGAACTCCATTGCCTAGTGGAGTTGTGAAAAGAGGGCCACTGCTGTCCAGATCCCAGAATGATAGATCCACTAACATCTTGCGCTGTGCACCTGGAAAAGCCGCAGACACTCAACGTCAGCCCCTGAAAGCAGCCAGGAGTGGGGCTATACCCCGCAAAACTATAGGGGTGAAGCTGCCCAAGACTGTGGGAGCCCACCTTTTGCATCAGCATGATCTGGAGGTGAGACATGAAGTCAAAGGAGATCATTTTGGAGCTTTAAGATATGACTGCCTTGCTGGATTTCAGATTTGCATGGGGCCTGTAGCCCCTTTGTTTTGGTGAATGTCTCCCTTTTGGAATGACTGTATTTACCCAATACCTGTACCCCCATGGTATCTAGGAAGTAACAAACCTGCTTTTGATTTTATAGGCTCACAGGCAAAAGGGACTTGCCTTGTCTTGGATGAGACTTTGGACTGTGGACTTCTGAGTTAATGCTGAAATTAGTTAAGACTTTGGGGGATTGCTGGGAAGGCATGACTGGTTTTGAAATGTGAGGACATAAGATTTGGGAGGGGCTAGGGGCGAATGATATGGTTTGGCTGTGTCCCATCCAAATCTCATCTTGAATTCCCACATATTGTGGGAAAGACCCAGTGGGAGGTAACTGAATCATGGGGGTAGGTCTTTCCTGTGCTGTTCTTGTGATAGTGAATAAATCTCGTGAGATCTAATGGTTTTAAAAAGGGGAGTTTCCCTGTACAAGCTCTCTTCTTGTCTGCTGCCATGTGGACGTACCTGTCACCTTCTGCCATGATTGTGAAGCTTCCCTAACCACGTGGAACTCTAAGTCCATTAAACCTCTTTCTTTTGTATATTGCCCAGTCTTGGGTCTGTCTTTATCAGCAGCATGAAAACAGACTAATACATACCTGTACATTAAAAGTGATACAGTCATTTTTAACTGACATCATGTGTATATATGTATACATAGACACATATTTGTATTATTTTTAAAATATTCAATAAACATTCAATTATTTTAAAAATCCTTAATATTCAGGTTGGCTGTGCAATAAAGTGTGAGACATGGTCAACAATTTTATAAACTGAATATGGACCATATTTACTAGTTCTAACAAAAATCAGACCATCCAACCTGTTCTCCCTCAGAAATAAGATACAAACACAGGTCGGTTTGGTATGTATCCTTCCAGATCCTTTTCTACACATTTGCAACATAAATCTTTATCAGTTAAGTATATATAACCCACAGAGCACTTGTTTGGTTTGCAGCATAATGAACATTAACATCTAATGGCTAAAAAGTATTGCAAATGCTCTCTACTCCATGATCACCCTTTACTTTTCTGGTGTCCCTTAAGTATCATACTACCCAGCAGCTGCATAAATGGTACCTTAGAAGATCTTTCTAGTTGTTTTATGTACATATAACCTGTTTACAGAATTCTCATCTTGAATTCGCACATGTTGTGGGAGGGACCCAATGGGAAGAACAGAGAAAGAACCGTGTCTTCTTCTAAACACTTGCTACATTGCAAATTTATTCAGGTGCTCAATAAATTCATGAGTTGATATTAAATGATATGAAGTACATTATTTAACAGAAAAGTTTTCTAAAATGAACTGTAACAGAAATTGTAAAAGCTACATTATCATTAGAGACATCAGTCTAATTTAAAAGTTGAGTCTATCAAGAAGTGAGGAAAAAATATTATGGCATAAAAATATTACAATAAATTAAAACATTTTAAATATTATAGGTCTCAAAAGAAACAACTTTTTGAAATACAATTTCCATGTATTCAGAAAGGTCAGCCGAAATACTTTTCATCAAAGCGTTTTTGAAAACTCTGAGACATACTCTTCATCCAAGAATTTTCAAATCACTTGATATAGTATGGTCTCAAGCTTTCATTTACTTCTTGTCTTACTGTTCAATCTTCTACAAAAATTTGCTTTTCCAGTTCCAAAGCTAATAAATGCTCATTGTAAAGAAATTCAAGCCGTATAGGGGATGTTTCAGGGTGAGATGATCCCCATGTGAATGAACTGACTGAAAGAGCTGTATATATGTATACATAGATATTTATATTATTTTTAATATTCAATAAACATTCAATTATTTTAAAAATCCTTAATATTCAGGTTGGCTGTGCACTGAAGTGTGAGATATGGTCAACTATCTTATAAACTGAATATATATAAACCATATTTATCAGTCCATATTCAGCTTATAAAATAGTTCAGCATATCTCACTAGGAGAGGGAACTATTTAAGAGTCTGGAGTATATTTCAGACTGTCTTTACACATACCTGTATACAGCTCTTAACATTTCTTTGTAAACATTTTTGTTCTAGATTTCAAAGAGGAGGTTGTATGTACATAAACATATGACCACAATGTACATAATGCCTTTTTTGCACTTTGTTTTATGAAAATTTTCTAACATGCAGATAGAAATTTTGTAACATGGATAAAGTAGTATTTAAAACCTGACAGAACATTTCTTTTTCTCTGAGACAGAGTCTTACTCTGTTGACCAGTCTGGAATGCAGTGACACAAACTCGACTCACTGCAACCTCCACCTCCCAGGTCCAGGTGATTCTCCTGCCTCAGCCTCCTGAGTAGCTGGCCTTACAGGCATGTGCCACCACAACAAGCTAAATTTTGTGTTTTAGTAGAGACAGGGTTTCACCATGTTGGTCAGGCTGGTCTTGAACTCCTGACCTCAGGTGATCCACCCACCTTAGCCTCCCAAAGTGCTGGGATTACAGGCATAAGCCACTGTGACTGGCCCTGATGGAACATTTTTAAAAATTCAATTCATCCACCAAGTTTTAACAATTATAAACATGTAATCAAATATGTTTCATTTCATCCATATCTACTACCTCATGAATATTCTGAAGTAAATTCCAAGCATCATACCATTACATCCTTAAATATTTTAGATGATCTCTTAAAAAACTAGGCTTTTCACCTTAAACTTCATATGGAACCAAAAGAGAGCCTGCATACCCAAGCCAATTCTAAGCAAAAAGAACACAGCAGGAGGCATCACATACTGGACTTCAAACTATACTACAAGGCTACAGTAGTCAAAACAGCATGGTACTGGTACCAAAACAGAAATATAGACCAATGGGACAGAACAGAGGCCTTGGAGGCAACACAACGTATCTACAACCATTCAATCTTTGACAAACCTGACAAAAACAAGCAATGGGGAAAGGATTCCCTGTTTAATAAATGGTGTTGAGAAAACTGGCTAGCTATGTGCAGAAAGCAGAAACTGGACCCCTTCCTGACACCTTACACTAAAATTAACTCCAGGTGGATTAAAGACTTAAACATAACACCTGACACCATAAAAACCCTAGAAGAAAATCTAGGCAAAACCATTCAGGACATAGGCGTAGGCAAGGACTTCATGACCAAAACCAAAAGCATTGGCAACAAAAGCCAAAACAGACAAATGGGACCTAATCAAATTCCACAGCTTCTGCACGGCAAAATAAACAGTCATTAGAGTGAATCGGCAACCAACAGAATAGGAAAAAATTTTTGCAATTTACCCATCTGACAAAGGGCTGATATCCAGAATTTACAAAGAACTCAAACAGATTTACAAGAAAAAAACAAATAAGCCCATTCAAAAGTGGGTGAAGGATATGAACAGACACTTTACAAAGTAGACATACATGAGGCCAACAAATATATGAAAAAATGCTCATCATCACTGGTCATTAGAGAAATGCAAATCAAAACTACATTGAGATACCATCTCACGCCAGTTAGAATGGCAATCATTAAAAAATCTGGAGACAACAGATGCTGCAGCGGATGTGGAGAAACAGGAACACTTTTACCCTGCCGGTGGGAGTGTAAATTAGTTCAACCATTGTGGAAGACAGTGTGGCGATTCCTCAAGGACCTAGAAATAGAAATTCCATTTGACCCAGCAATCCCATTACTAGGTATATATCCAAAGGATTATAAATCGTTCTACTATAAGGACACATGCACACAAATGTTCATTGCAACACTGTTTACAATAGCAAAGACCTGGAAAAAACCCAAATGCCGATCGATGATAGAGTGGACAGGGAAAATGTGGCACATATACACCATGGAATATTATGCAGCCATCAAAAACGATGAGTTCTTGTCCTTTGTAGGGACATGGATGAAGCTGGAAATCATCATTCTCAGGAAACTGACACAAGAACAGAAAATGAAATACCACATGTTCTCACTCATAGGCGGATGTTGAACAATGAGAACACACGGACACAGGGAGGGGAGCGTCACACTGGGGTCTGTCAGGGGGAAATAGGGGAGGGACAGTGGGGGGTGGGGAGTTGGGGGGAGAGAGCATGGGGAGAAATGCCAGATATAGGTGATGGAGAGGAAGACAGCAAATTACACTGCCATGTGTGTACCTATGCAATAGTCTTGCATGTTCTTCACATGTACCCCAAAACCTAAAATGCAATAAAAAAAATAAAATAAAAACAAAAAAACAAATAAGACAAAAAAAAAAAACTAAGCTTTTTAAAAAATACAGCCACAAGACTATTATCAGACTTTTAAAAATCAAGACGAATTCTTTACTATTATCAAATAGCTACTTAGTAATCTATTTCCACATATGGAGATTTTTTTAGAGGTAAAACTCACATGCAATGAAATGTATAACTCCTGAATGTACAGTTTTTGTTTTGAGATGGAGTCTAATTCTGCTGCCTCTGGATTAGACACTGGAGTAACAGTGGTGCCATCTGGACTCACTGCAACCTCTGCCTCCCAGGTTCAAGTGATTCTCCTGTCTCAGCCTCCTGAGTAGCCAGGATTATAGGCATGTGCCACTATGCTCAGCTAATGTTTTTGTATTTTTAGTAGAATGGGGTTTCACTGTATTGGCCAGGCTGGGGTCTTGAACTCCTGTCCTGCAGTGATCCACCCACCTCAGCCTCCCAAAGTGCTGGAACTACAGGCATGAACCACTGTACCAGTCCAGAATGTACAGTGCTGGTTGTTAACAGATACACACACCCTTGTAACATATATTCTTATGAAGATATAGAACCTTTCCATCACTCCCCAAAATCTCCCTGTACCTCGTTCCTCCCCACATCAGAAGCAACCGTTTTTTGAATTTTTTGAACTATTAAAAATTAAACTGCATACAATAACAACAACAACTTGGGGGTTAAGACCAAGTTTGACCTAAAATAAAAACAATTAACATATAAATTAGGAGACAAAGTGGCTAGAGTTTTAAAGTTCTTCTGTTGTTTAGGTAGAAAGTAGAGATATTGATTTTAGATTTTTAATAATGAATATTAAAATGTTAAGGATTCAAGTTGGTTGCATAATAGCACTCAGAAAATATGAGTGATTTAAAAATACAACATTTGACCTTACATCCTTACTGAGATACCCATTAAAAATTGAAAGAATTACAATGAAAAATTTTTTAAATGTTAAGGGTAATCTCTAAATGAATGAAAACAAATTATATAACTTAAATATGGATACAAAAACTTTATTAATTCTGAAGAAGGCGGGAAAAGAGAAAAATTAAGCAGAGAGCTCAAGACAAGATAATAGTAATTTAAAAAGTTAGTAATTACAAGAAAATTAAATGCACCAAACTTACCATTCAAAAGACATGTATTTTCAGTTGGGATTAAAAACAACGAAACCCATCTATAAGTTGTTTATAAGAGACACAAAACAAAGATACACAGAGAAGTTGAAAGTAAATGAATAGGTAAAAGTGAACTAGGTAAGCAGTTACCAGAAGTCACTGATTCTTGTACAGCTATACTAATATCAGATAAAATACATTTTTAGGCAAAAAGGATTATAGGGGAAGGAGGATTGGTCACTATGTAATAATAAAATGTACAATTCACTGAGATGATATAATTGCTTTAAGTCTGTACCTCGAATAACATAGCCTCTAAGTACCTAAAGGAAAATGAGGGCAAATTAAGATGAATTTTATAATGTCATCTCTGAGGATGAAGATAAAAACTGTCAACGTGTTGTGTAACTAAATAGACTACCTATTGTTTTATCTTCCCAGACGTCCTTCTTTTCTGATAACTTTTCCCAGGAATTTATATCAGAAATAAGGTATAACTAATAAATGCTCTAAAATGTGGGGGGAAAAATTAAAGTTCCTTGCTGGAGATACATCTATATTGCCAGTGAGAAAAGTAGTTCATTCTCTTTTATTGCCAGATAATATCCCATTGTACGAGTATACCACAATTTGTTTCTCTGCTGTACTACTGACAGACATTTGGGTTGATTCCAATTTTTTCAGACATTACAAGTAAAGCTGCTATAAACATTCTTTTTTTATTGAGACCGAGTCTCGCTCTTGTCACCTAGGCTGGACTGCAGTGGTGTGATCTTGGCTCACTGAAATTTTCACCTCCTGGGTTAAAGCGATTCTCCTGCCTCAGGCTCCCAAGTAGCTGGGACTACAGGTGTGCACCACTGCATCCAGCTAATTCTTGTATTTTTAGTAGAGACAAGGTTTCACCATGTTGGCCGGGATGATTTCGATCTCATGACCTTGTGATCTGCCCACCTCGGCCTCCCAAAGTGCTGGAATTACAGGCATGCACCACCATGTCCAGCCTAATTTTTGTACTTTTAAAAGAGATGGGGTTTCGCCATGTTGGCCCGGCTGGTCTCGAACTCCTGACCTCAGGTAATCTGCCCACCTCAGCCTCCTAAAGTGCTGGGATTACAGGTGTGAGTCACTGCACCCAGCCAACATTCTTACAGATCTTTTGGGACCATTCATTCCCATTTCCCTTGGGTAAATACTTAGAAGCAGAATTGGTGGGTTACAGGATAAGCATATATTTATAAGAGACTGCCAAATGTTTTCCAGAGTGGTTGTACGATTTTATTAATACACTCCACCAGCAATGTCTGGGAGATATGGCTGCTACACATCTTCACCAACATTTGGCTTTCAGGGTTTTTACCTGTAGCCATTACAGTGCATATGCCGAGATGTTTTTGGCATTAATATACATTTCCTGATAATAGTATTAGTACTTTTTCAGGTGTCCACTGGCTACCATTCATGTATCTTTATTTGTGAAGTACATGTTCAAATCTTTATCCTTGAGGGGAAAAAAACTGGGTTCTCATTTTATTACTCAATCATGGAAGTTTATCCTGGATACCAGTCCCTTGTCAGAATGCTTTGTGAATATTTTCTCCCAATCTATGCCTATTTATTTCCTTAAGGATATCTTTCAATGAGCAAAAGTTTTAAATTTTGATGAAGTTTCATTTGGAAATCTTCTTATTTTATGATACTGTTTCTGTGTCCTATTTAAGAAGTGTTTGCCTACCAGATCTAAAAAGATATTCTCCTAGGTTTTCTTCTATAATCCTCATAATTTAACATTTGGGCTATGATACATTTCAAACTTGTATACAATGTGTGAAGTAGGAGTCAAGGTACTTTTTCTCTCCATATGGATCCAATTTTTCCAACATTATTTGTTTTAAAAAGTTTCACTCCTTCACTCAATTACTTTGATGCCTTTGCCAAAAGTCACGAGCCATGCGAATGTTGCTCTGTTGTTAGATCCTCTATTCTGTTCCACTGACTTGTCAATCCTTATGCCAGTACCTCACTATTCTAATTTCTATGGCTTTATAATGTCTTAAAGTTCTCCAAATTTCTTGTTTCAAGATTGCTTTGAATATTCCAGGTTCTTTGCATGTCCATATAAATTTTAGAATTTATTCAGTTTGTCAATTGTATAGAAAAGTCTGATCATACTATGATTGGGATTGCATTAAGTCTAAAAATCAATTTAGGGAAATTTGACAGATCATCACTATGACATCCAATCTATGAATGTGGTATTACATCTCTCCATTTCTTTAGGTCTTCTCTAATTTCTTTCAGCAACATTTTATGGTTTTCAGCGTAAAGGTCTTGTATGTCCTTTGCTAGATTTATCTCTAAGTATTTAATATTTTGTGATACAACTGTATATGGAATTTATTAAAATTTACTTCTCCATTTATTTGCTGATAGTAGAGATGCAATTAATTTCTTCATATTAACCTTCTATTCTTACTGACTTTGTTAAACCAACTTTATACTCCTGAAATCTTAATTATGATGTATATTGTTTTTATATATATTTATATTTTTATATAATTCAATCTGAATATATTTTGAGGAGATTTACATCTGTATTCATGAGGAATAACTGGTCTATAGGGTTTTTTCCCTCTTGTAATGACTTTTTAAAATTTTGGGATCAGGATTATACTGACCTCATTTTCTCTATTTCTGAAAGTCTGTGTATTCAGTATTGTTTCTTCTCTAAATGCTTCATAGAATACTCTTGATACTGATCCTTCATTTTTGTCAATCTTTTTTGTCTGTGGCTTTAGTATGAATGTTTTCTATTGTTACATATTCAGGTTCACTGACTGTTTTCCATGAAGTGTCTAATCAGCTGTTAATTCTATACAGTGAAATTTTCACATCAGATATATATTTTTAGCTCTAAAAGTTTCATTAGGTTTTTCATCCTTTGATTTCTCTTCTCACTTGCTCAGATTCTCTTTTCAATACATAACTGTACTTGAAATAGCTGTTTAATATCCATGTCTGCTAATTCTATCATCTGTTAAGTCTGCTTCTGACTGATTTTTCTCCTGGTTATGAGTCAAATTTTCCTGCTTCTTATACTGGCTATTAGTCTTTTTATTGGATGCTAAACACTGTGAATGTCATACTGAGTGTTTGGATTTTGCTGTCTTTATTAAAGAATGTGAAGCTTTGTTCTGCAAGTGATTAAATTATTTGAAGATGAGCCTGATCCTTTAGAACTTTTAGGAAGATTCGTTAGGGAGGGTTCTAAAACAGCCTTTACGTTAAGAATAATTTAGCTCTACTCCTAAGATGAGACTTTTATTGGCCTTGATAATCAATGAGAACTCTCTTATCTCAGCTGGTCAGAACTTGAATGTATCCTAGCATTGTGTGGGTGCTGGGAATTAGTCAGTTACTGCTCCCTGCTGGTTCTCTGCCCAGACTCATGCTCGCATCTTACACATGTGTAACTCAACATTCGGCAAACATTCAATTCAAGAAAATCCCTATGTAGACTTCTATAGCTTTTTGTCTTTGTAGTGCCTTCCTCTGTGGAACTCTGGTTGTAGCCACCTCAGACTCCCTGAACACTAATTTCTGTCTTCTCAACTTAATGAGACTGTTATTTCCCATCCTGCTCCACTATCCCAAATATGCCTTCAAGAAAAAGCCAGACAAATTATAGAGTTCAAATAATTTGTTTCCTGTCTCTCAGGGACCATGGTCTTATGCTGCTACTGTCCAATATACTGTCTAGTTTTTTAATTGCTTGCGGCAAAAGACTAAAATTCAATCCCTGTTAGTCTGTCAAGGGTGAAAGTAGAAGTTCTAAACATAATATTTTGCAACTTGATTTTTTACTCAATTTATCATGGTTTTTATTCCAGGTCAGTACACAGATATCTACCACATTCTTTTAAAAGCCTGAATAGCATAAAGGATGAATACTTCAATATTGTCTTCAATGTCTGAAATAGAAACTAATATTGAAACTAATAACATCATACATATCTCCCTGCCATATATAAAAATATTTCTGCATTTCAATTTTCCTCCATAAGCTTACAAGAAAATAGAGATTATAAGTCATATATCTCTCCTCCCACCACATACCACAGCTGAATGGTAAAATTTTACAGAGATGGTATTTATTAAGTATATATTGAGTATAAAAATTAGGTTAAAGGTAAATACTCAGTACTAATGGCAAATGCTTGTCTTCTTTCCTTACTTTTATGAAGGGTTTTAATCAATTTGATTTGACAGTGAGTGAGACAAGTTCTCAGGCTTAATTTTTAATTAATATTGCTCTCCTTGCTCCTTATCTTCATATTATTTTTAACCTTGTCTTAAATATTTGTATTTTACCTGTGTCTTTCATTCTAAGTTCTCCCAAATCTGTTTTTACATAACAGGACTAAAAATAAGTAAATACTGAAAAGGTATCCTCTTAATACACCACACTCTTTAAAATGTAATATGATGCACAATAGAAATTTTTATTATATTCTTACAAAAGGGTTTCTAGTTTTCACAATCTCGGTCAAAGGAGGTTTAAAAGGTATTTTAATTTTATTAATACTAAAATTTTTCTCCATTTGCAAAGCCAAGGAAAGTAATTCAAATTACTAATTTAATGTGAAAGCATTTTAACCAATTACATATGATTTTATAATTTTATTCCAAAAGGTTAAATTCATTGACTATTACAGTCATTGAGAACTCATATTCAGAGATCAAATTTCTGCTCAGTGACTGACAATCTTATACTTCACATTCCATTGTCAGAAATTGTTAAAGCATAACAATCTGTTTAATAATACTGTAATTATATTTCTATGCATTTCATTGCTGAAAAGTAAACTTTTTCTTCCACAAGCCAACTTCTGGAATCAGTCAGTTTTAAAATAGATCAACTTCTAGATTAAAACCTAAAACTGTCACTTTAAAATTAAATTTTAAAAAAGCTTTAGTCCTCACCTGATTACAAGTATCAGATAATGAATGTATAGCTTCTGAGAACATACTTGCTGAACCGGTATAAATCCAGGCAAGAAATTTAAAGAAGCAGTTTAATCCATTGCTAGAAGAAGAGAAAGAGAAAACAATTTAGCATAGGATTGGATAAAAACGTAAGCCAAAAGCATATTCAATCACCTGGATATACCTATATACTACATTCTGTTGAAAGTAAAATTAGGCTGAGCATAGTGGCTCACACCTATAACCCCAAAACTTTGGGAGGCTAAGTCGGAGGATTGCTTGAGGCCAGGAGTTTAAGGCCAGGCTGGGCAACAAAGCAAGACCCCTTACAAAATATTTTAAAAACTTAGTCTGGTGTGGTGGCACATGCCTGTAGTCCCAGCTACTCAGGAGGCTCTGAGGTGTAAAGATCACCTGAGCCAGGAGCTATGACAGTGCCACTGTTCTCCAGCCTAGGCAACAGAGTTAAGATCCTGCCTCTAAAAAAAACAAAGTAAAATTAAAAGAATCCCTAGCCTTAAAAAACTTTCTGTCGGTAACAAGAGTGCAAATTTGAAAAAATATAAATTATGTACCATTAAGAGACATGCTATGTGTAAGGAAATTACTTAAGTCCATTTTAAAAACTCACAAGAAAAGAGGGTCTTCTGTATTTGGACAAGTTAAATTAAACAGAAAATTATGTGTTTTAGGTACATAAAAGCAGATCTGCACCTGATAGGTCCAATGGGCCAGTGTCAAAGGCAAGACCAGCGGAAGTCTGTTTATTTAAGGAGGCAGATGCCAGAGGGGAGGCTAAATCTAGAATAAGCAGTCTCAGAGTCATACTAGAAGACCCTAAATGCTAAGAAAAACACTGTGAACTCTGAGGAAGCTAGCCGCTCAGAAAACAACAGTAATGACTAATACAATTTGGCTTGGATGTTATGCTAGTGACGTAATACCATGTTACATTACAACTCCATTATACAAATATTAACACCTCTATTTTATAAATGAGAGAACCGTACATCCCCTTCTGGCTACCTTGAACCCTCTCCTCCACCTCAGACAACTTACTGAAAACATCACATCTATTCTTGCTGTCACAGTTTTCATCTTATCAATACCACCTACTATTCCTTACTATTAAGTTTCTGGAAACATTTTAGCATTTCTCTTAACCTCAAGGGAGCATCTGACCCTATTTTCTTCTTTTTTTAAACAATTTTTAATTTATTTTTTAAATTATACTTTAAGTTCTGGGGTACATGCACAGAACGTGCAGGTTTGTTACAAAGGTACACATGTCATGGTGGCTTGCTGTATCCATCAACATATCATGTACATTAGGTATTTCTCCTAATGCTATCCTTCCCCAAGACCCCCACCCCGCAACAGGCCCCAGTGTGTGATGTTTCCTTCCCTGTATGTCCATGTGTTCTCACTGTTCAACTCCCACTTATGAGTAAGAACATGCAGTGTTTGGTTTTCTGTTCCTGTGTTAGTTTGCTGAGAATGATGGTTACCAGCTTAATCCATGTCCCCACAAAGGATATGAACTCATCCTTTTTATGGCTGCATAGGATTCCATGCTGTATATGTGCCACATATTGTTTATCCAGTCTATCACTGATGGGCATTTGGGTTGGTTCCAACTCTTTGCTATTGTGAATAGTGCTACAACAAACATACGTATGTATGTGTCTTTATAGTAGAATGATTTATAATCCTTGGGGTATATACCCAGTAATGGGATTGGGGGGGTCAAATGGTATTTGTTTCTAGATCCTTCAGGAATCATGACACTGTATTCCACAATGCTTGAACTAATTTACCCACCAAAAAGTGTAAAAGTGTTCCTCTTTCTCCACATCCTCTCTATCGCCTAATTTCCTGACTTTTTAATGACAGCCATTCTAACTGGCATGAGATGGTATCTCATTATGGTCTTGACTTGCATTTCTCTAATGACCAGTAATGATGAGCTTTTATTCACATGTTTGTTGGCCACATAAAAGTCTTCTTTTGAGAAGTGTCTGTTCAGATCCTTCACCCAATTTTTGACAGAGTTGGTTTTTTTCTTGTAGATTTGTTTAAGTTCCCTGTAGATTCTGGATATTAGCCCTTTGTCAGATGCATAGAGAGCAAAAATTTCTCCCATTCTATAGGTTGCCAGTTTACTCTGATGATAGTTTATTTTGCTGTGCAGTAGCTCTTTAATTTAATTAGATCCCATTTGTCAATTTTGGCTTTTGCTGCGATAGCTTTTGGTGGTTTAGTCATGAACCACCCATGCCCATGTCCTGAATGACAGGTTTTCTTCTAGGGTTTTTATGGTTTTACATCTTACATTTAAGTCTTTAATCCATCTTGAGTTACTTTTGTATAAGGTGTTAAGGAGAGGGTCCAGTTTCAGTTTTCCGCATATGGCTAGCCAATTTTCCCAACACCATTTATTAAACACAGAATCCTTTCCCCATTGCTTGTTTTTGTCAGGTTTGTCAAAGATCACATGGTTGTAGATGTGTGGAATTATTCTGAGGCTTCTGTTCTGTTCCATTGGTCTATATGTTTTGGGACTACTGCCATGCTGTTTTGGTTACTGTACCTTGTAGCATAGTTTGAAGTCATATAGTACGATGCCTCCAGCTTTATTCTTTTTGCTTAAGATTGTCTTGGATATAGGGGCTCTTTTTTGGTTCCACATGAAATTTAAAGTAATTTTTTCTAATTCTGTCAAGAACGTCAATGACAGCTTGATGGGGATAGCACTGAATCTATAAATTACTTTGGGCAGTATGGCCATTTTCATAATACCGATTCTTCTTATCCATGAGCATGGAATGGTTTTCCATTTGTTTGTACCCTCTCTTATTTCCTTCAGCAGTGCTTTGTAGTTCTCCTTTAAGAGGTCCTTCACATCCCTTGTAAGTTGTATTACCAGGTATTTTACTCTCTTCATAGCAATTGCGAATAGGAGTTCGCTCATGATTTGGTGTATGGGAATGCTTGTGATTTTTGCACATTGATTTTCTATCCTGAGACTGCTGAAGTTGCTTATCAGTTTAAGGAGATTTTTTGGATTAGGCAATGGGGTTTTCTAAATATACAATCATGTCATCTGCAAACAAAGATAATTTGACTTCCTGTCTTCCTATTTGAATACCCTTTATTACTTTCTCTTGCCTGATTGCCCTGGCCAGAACTTCCAATCGTATATTGAATAGGAGTGGTGAGAGAGGTCATCCTTGTTGTCTTGTGCTAGTTTTCAAAGGGAATACTTCCAGGTTTTGGCCATTCACTATGATATTGGCTATGGGTTTGCCATAAATAGCTCTTGTTTATGACATGAGATATGTTCCAACAATATCTAGTTTATTGAGAGTTTTTAGCATGAGGGGGTGTTGAATTTTGTCAAAGGCCTTTTCTGCATCTATTGAGATAATCATGTGGATTTTGCCATTGGTTCTGTTTATGTGATGGACTATGTTTACTGACTTGCATATGTTGAACCAGTCTCGCATCCCAGGGATGAAGCTGACTTGATTGTGGTAGATAAGCTTTTTGATGTGATGCTGGATTCAGTTTGCCAGTATTTTGTTGAGGATTTTGCATTGATGTTCATCAGGGATATTGGCCTGAAATTTTCTTTTTCTGTTGTGTCTCTGCCAGGTTTTGGTATCAGGATGATGCTGGCCTCAAAAAATGAGTTATGGAGGAGTTTCTCTTTTTCTATTGTTTGGAATAGTTTCAGAAGGAATGGTACCAGCTCCTCTTTGTACCTCTGGTAGAATTTGGCTGTGAATCCGTGTGGTCCTGGGCTTTTTTTCGTTGGTAGGCTATTAATTACTGCCTCAATTTCAGAACTTATTATTGGTCTATTCAGGGATTCAACTTCTTCCTGGTTTAGTCTTGGCAGATTGTATATGTCCAGGAATTTATCCTTTTCTTCTAGATTTTCTAGTTGATTTGCATAGAGGTGTTTATAGATTCTCTGATGGTAGTTCGTATTTCTCTGGGATCAGTGGTGATATCCCCTTTATCATTTTTTATTGTGCCTATTTGATTCTTCTCCTTTTCTTCTTCATCAGTCTGGTTGGCAGTCTATCTATTTTGTTAATCTTTTCAAAAAAGCCAGCTCCTGGATTCATTGATGTTTTTGAAGGGTTTCTCATGTCTCTATCTCCTTCCAGTTCTGTGGTGATCTTAGTTATTTCCTGTCTCCTGCTAGCTTTTGAATTTGTTTGCTCTTGCTTCTCTAGTTCTTTTAATTGTGATGTTATGGTGTAGAATTCAGATCTTTCCCACTTGCTCCTGTGGGCTTTCAATGCTACAAATTTCCCTCTAAACACTGCTTTAGCTGTGTCCCAGAGATTCTGGTATGTTGTGTCTTTGTTCTCACTGGTTTCAAAGAACTTATTTATTTCTGCCTTAATTTTGTTATTTACCCAGTAGTCATTCAGGAGCAGGTTGTTCAGTTTCCATGTAGTTGTGTAGTTTTGAGTGAGTTTCCTAATCCTGAGTTCTAATTTGATTGTGGAAGAGAGTGAATGCAGTCTGAGAGACTATTTGTTATGATTTCCATTCTTTTGCATTTGCTGAGGAGTGTTTTACATCCAATTACGTGGTCAATTTTAGAATTAGGTGTGATATGGTGCTGAGAAGAATGTATATTCTGTTGATTTGGGGTGGAGAGCTCTGTAGATTCTATTAGGTCCACTTGGTCCACAGCTGAGTTCAAGTCCTGAATATCCTTGTTAATTTTCTGTCTCGTTGATCTGTCTAATATTGACAGCAGGGTGTTAAAGTCTCCCATTATTATTGTGTAGGAGTCTAAATATCTTTGTAGGTCTCTAAGAACTTGCCTTATGAACCTGGGTGCTCCTGTACTGGGTGCATATATATTTAGGATATTTAGCTCTTCTTGTTGCATTGATCCCTTTACCATTATGTAATGTCCATCTTTGTCTTTTTTGATCTTCGTTGGTTTAAAGTCTGTTTTACCAGAG